TGTTATTGTACTGCGAAGCGGTCCACGAATACAAAGCTTACCCGATCCAATGCACTTCTTCATAATTCTCGACTTACATTTGTAATGTTTTCTAGCTGGCTCAAACAGTTCCTCAGGTATCTCGGTGAACACGGTCTGCAGGCTACTCGCATACAAAACCTCAAGATGTGCACAATTCCTCTGTGGATATTTTCCTCATTCGCCATAAGGAACGTTATCAGCTGTGAGATAATCAATTTAATTCTATTTTGTGTTGTTTATTCAGTAGTTTCCTTCTTTTTGTTTCAGCAGATTTTCATCCCAGCATCGCCGGTGGGCTTTGGATTCCCGACATGCTCGTTCCTGATCCTTACTTTATTTTACCCATTGCAGTAGGAGTTTTCGGGTTCTTGAACCTTTACGTGAGTTTATGTGGTTATTTGTCCCAATATTGCGATAGTAATACATATTGCATACTTTGTTGGGTTTCGAATCACGTTTACGTGTCGCTTCTCCCACTCGACGTAGAAGCATTTACTGCACTTACATATTCTTCTTGCAGTCTCAACGGAAAATATATCCAATTGCGATGAGTACATGGAAAACGCGGTCCTATGATTTTTGTCTGGGCTTCTTCACGCTTTTTGCTGTAACCATCATGTCGCAGTTGCCAGCGGTAAGCGGCTTTTTGCCTACTCGTGTAAGATCGCTAATTTAGCCTTGAGAGTCCTTCATTGTGGCTAGTGAAACAGGACCTCCCGTAAGTAAAGTAGGACACGTCACAAAAAGGGCAGAGGTGATGCCCTACTGCCTTTCTTGCTGGCACTGAGAACTTGCGAAATGGGTCTGATGGCATTTGTCAATCAAGTCGAGATGGAATGAGTGGTGCGTTTGACGGGTGGTTTCCTCTATGCGTCCTTTCCTCCATTATCCCTTCTTTTGCAGTCAAAACATGGTCAACCGTTCGTTTGACTGAACCAGACGGATGTTGTGGGGAAGGGTTTGTTTGACAGGTTTTTTTTCCTGAATTTGAGGGTAGTTCGGAAAGAAACGCGTGATATGGACAAAGTAATAGCATTTGCCGTTTTTTATTAGACATTTTTTTGCTACCCACCCCCCTCCCTTTTTTTTACTCCACTACAATTTTGGAGGAATACTGGGACGGAGTTGAGTGTGTCGACTGGTTTCAGAACTATTAGGTTGGAAAGAAAGTTCTGCAACACTCTTTCTAAAATTTTCTTTTTTTCTGAAAAATTCATAGGTAACATTTATGACTAACAAATGGTAGAGCATTCTCGAGGCTTCAATCCACGAGGTGGATATAAGTGCTGCAGTCAGTAGTTATCCAAGAAAATTCAAAAAACCTCGACCACTAGTAAATCCATACTCCGAGTCACTGTCTAGTACAAATGTCTCCATAACTATGGATTCGTGTCAAAGACCAACACTATCTGCAATAGCTTCAATAGGCATGTCGTTCACCGCTACAGCGTGTTTCACCTTTACCAGCGCTTTCGATCTTTTGATATTTTTATAAGAAGCCAGCAGCGTCCCACACACTCCATTACAGGTAGGGCTCTTACGGAAGCTCCACTACAAATTCTTCGTTATGGGCACCATTGTGTAGGTAGAGGTCTAGGCTGCGGAAACTGGCCGAGGCAGCTCGTCAGAGCCCTCGTACCGCGACAATATTTATTTCTTTCATGACATTGCGAATCACCATGATCCGAAATGAGCCCGGTAAGAAATTCTGGAGCTGCGGCAAGATTTCTTACCTCTCTTAGCGTATTCCCCTGGTCGAGCTATAAATGACTGCCACCTATCCTGGACCTTAAATCATCATCTTGATGACGATCAACTCCAACTCGAAAGTGAGGTCGCCTCCTTTCTCGACCCGCACTCCGCTGGGTTTTGGCAAAGGAGCATCAAGAAATTTTCTGAGCGTTGAAGACAAGTGGTGGACACTCATGGTAGATATAAGACCGGTCAGGAGTTGTAAACAAAAAAGATAAAATTAAAATCAAAAATTTGAAAAAGTGTTGCAGGACTTTCTTTCCAACCTAATAGAAACACCCATTGCGGTGAGAGTGATGGTCGGGAGTGGTATTGGCGAAGGGATGTGGGGACATGCCAAAGCTGCTGATGGTAATTGGGATCACGCCAAGATCCCCTAAATGGGTGGCACCAAAGTTTTTAGTCGTCCTGATGCAAGGTTGACCGTGAGCTCGAATTCTTATCACATTCAACACCAAAGGCAACTAAATTCTGACTTCATTTCGGACATTTCATTGGTTTTTCCAATTTTATTCACCCGTGGGAACTGCACCTACAATTCAATGTTGTGTTGCTCCCTACTTCCTTTTCGTT